TCTGATTTCATTTTTTCCAGATCCCCTTTTGTTGCCAGTTCAGTGGGTCCAGGTGGTTGAGTATCAGAGTGTTCCAACTCATTTCCCTTTGGGGTTGCTGTAGGTGATCTGGAAGTCTGGTTTTGAGACTTATTTACATGTTTTCTCATTTCAATTGAGGGGGGGGTGCTGTTGGCGCCTGCATGGATTACCTCCTCTGGGCTGGGAGAGGTGGGACAGGGGCTGGGAGCAGCGGTAGGGATGGTGGTCCAAATGCCCTTTCCTCTGGGCTGGGAGCAGCCGGAGGGCTGGTGGCCGGGAAACCCCTTCCTTTGGACCAGGAGCAGTGGGACGGCGGCTCAGAAGCCCCTACTTCTGGGCCAGGAGCAGCAGGACTCAGTACCATGGTCTGGTGGTCTGGTGTCCTCTTTGTCTTTGTAGTGTGGAACCAGGTGGCTGTAGAGATGAGCGGGGCGGGGCGGGGGGTGGTGTCCAGTGGATTGTTCCATATATTTATATATATATTTAGTTTTTGGAGACAGCACCTTGCTGTGTAGTCCAGTCTAGTGTGATCTTGAACTCAGTATGTAAACCAGGCTGGCTTGAAACTTGTGGCAATCCTCCTGCCTCAACTTCCCAAGTGCTGGAGTGCACAGATGTGCACCACCACCCCTGGTGCTGAAAGATATTTTTTACAAACTGTGTATTACAAAACTGTGTATTATAAAATTTCAAAACAATTCTCCAGTCTTACTAGTAGCTTTCTTGCAGTTTTTTTCTTAAACTTGACCTATTTCACTTTCAATTTATTCATGGGTATTAAGTATCTGGTTCAGTGATTCTTCTAAGACTACCGTTTTCTGGTGCTTCCAGAGATGAAACTAATTTTAGCAACTTTAAAATAAATACAATATAAATTGAGGCAAATGGCACTAACAGTATGCTGAGCTCAGCATGTTTAATGACTATTTCTAATAAAACAGATTCTAGGATGGAGCTTCTAACATTCCTGTATGCATCGTAAGAATGGTGAAGGCTACCTCATATCAGAGATCTTCATAAAAGAATCTTGACATCATTACCAAGCAGGGACAGTTCCAAAATGAATTTCAGTTATGGGATATGTGTTTTGCAGTAGTAACTTAGATGATTTTTATGCTCTCTGCTTTCTGCCTTTGGGGATGGAGAGATGACTTTAAGGTGCTAAACACATACTTAAAATCAATAAACCACACACACACAAAAAATCCCTAGAGAAATAAGGATTACTTTCATAGCAGTTTTAAATAAAAATCTTTGTTAGATAATATTTAATTTGATAATGGAAGATGGAGGGTGGTCTCTTAGCAACAAAAGATGGGATAACGTTTTTCAGTTAGTGAATACAGACATTAGCTACAGAGAGATAGAGACCTGTGAGTGCAGGGATTCTATCTTTTTCACTGCTGCATCCCCAGTATCTACCCTATAATACGCATTAAATAGACATTAAATAAATGATATGTAAGGATGTTAAATACTGATTGAAGTCAAGTATACAAAATAATGAGAGAATAAGGATAAAATACTACAGTGAAGACTGATTTCTCATACAGGGTATAGAAGTAGTAAACGTAAGTCAAAATAAAAGAAAATAAAATCCCCTTAAATAGGCATAATATGTAGAAAGGTGTCTCACACAATAGCAGGATTACAACCATGTTTAAGTGATAAAGTAGGGAGGAAAAAAGAATTTTTTTCTATCTTTAGTAAAATGACCTAAAATATGTCTGTTTTTAAAACAATTTTTCAAATTGAAATTTAATTTTCAATTTTTCTTCACAGAATCATGTAGAATGATGCTTTTTAAATATGAAAAATTCAGAAATCATTTTCATTATATTTACATATAATTAAATATATGTGGTTGGTTGGTTGGTAAAGTCAAATAATGCTAAATTTTATAACAAATGAAAAATAAGTTTTTAGTCTTTTTCTTTTTATCTACCTGCAGATACGACCACTTAAAACACTCTGCTTTCTCACTGTGACAGGTGAGGACTTTAGCACTCTTCCACATCCATCCTCCCTCTTTCACCCTCCCAATATAGCAAAATCGCAGTTGTTAAATCCTTTGTGTTCTCATTAATAAAACATAGATGCTGCTCACTACTGGGCTGAGGCTGTATTATGATATTTCCTTTCTTACATAACTTTTGTTTTTTCCCTCCAGCGTTAATGATTATGCCTTTTTTTTTTAACCTCATTTTTTTAGTCATCCTACCCTCCCTCTTTACCTTGGTTCAAATACATTTTTCATGGTGCTCAAGGCTGATGTGCAGCTAGATAGGTACCAGCTATCTCTTTACACAGTGAGTCCTCCGAATGATTACACAATGTGCTCTGGCTGGCTGAAGCATCTTTCCTGCATAGTATTAAACCTAATGGATCTCTCATGACATACTCTTCCCAGAGACATCCTGCTTAGCACCTTTTACATGTTACACCCAATGTTGCAGTTTGCACTTTGCACCTGGTGTGCAGCGCCCTTTCTTGGAATTCTGCCATCTCCCTATTGTGCTGGAGAGCCTGCTTCACAGATCCCATTGGATCTTTTTTTTTTTTTTTTTAATTCTCTAGCTTTGGTAGAACATACCTGCCTTGACAAAGCATGTATAGTAGGTAAAATTTGTGATTTCACATGTGTCAAATTAAAAAATAACTCTAAGCTCACACATGACTCAGAGCTTTACACTGCAGAACATGAGGGCAAGGATCATGGATGGTATTACTCTGTCCTCAAGCTTCTACTGTCACCATTTAGAAATGTAATGCCATTCTGATGCTACATCATTTGAATGTGATTGCTTTCTATCCTTGGGATCTTTAGAATTGTCTTTTTTTCTAATTTTATTGGTACATTTTAGGTATACAATATAATGACATTAATCATTGGAAATTTGTACCTTTATGTAATCTATCTTGGTTAGAATCCTTTCTTGATCCTTGGTGTTTTGGGGTATACAAGGATTTTGCATAGAGTTGTTCATTCTTTTCATTAATGTGCTGGGTACTGTGTCGCCTTTTCTAATGTGGAAACTCATACTCTTCCCTTCTAGAATGTTACTGGAATATTATTGTATTATTTCTTTGACGTTTGTATCTTTTTTCTCTTTTGAGAATTCTTAGCTGTTAAATGTTGAATCTCCTGATCTTTTCTGACAGCTACAGAAGCCAAGAATGTATTTTTATTAAGCTGACTATTTTGCTATTTTAATGGCTATTAACCTACCTTTCATAGAAGAAGCTTTAAAAGTTAAATAATAGGAAATCTATATGGGAGTGTAGCTCACTGATATAGTACTTGCATGCAAGAGGTCTTAGATTCAATCCCCAGTTCTATAAAAACAAAACAAAAAATAACTGGCTGTCTCATATCTATATCTATATATCTAGTTAATAAATTTCCATTTAATTCTCATTACGACACTGCTACATAATCTGACTCTGACCTTGTTGATTATATTAATTTTGACACTTGTGCCAAAGGTATCTGCTAATTCAAAGCAACCTTATTTTACATCCCTTCAACACTGCAGTTATGGACAATCACCTCTTTTTTTTTTTTTGGGTACAAGGGATCAAACTCAGGACCTTGCACTTGTGAGGCAGGCGCTGGCGCCACTGAGCTAAATCCCTGGCCTTATACAATCACCTCTTAAGTGAAATATTTCTTTCCATAGTATTGTTGTTTTTAGCTCACAATAACTCAAAGAGCCTGATTTGAAAGCTGAATATTTATTCTCAATTTAACTTAATACCAGTAAATTCAAATTTTTACTTGATATGAAATACATGGCATTAATGTTTATAGAATTCTCACAATATAGGAGCAAGCACTCATAAGCACTCACTTATATATGCTCTCACCAATAGGTATATTACCCCGATTTATATGTGAAGCAAATAACACAGAAATTAAGTAAACTGCCTGTGGTTACTTAGAAAGTCACACTTGGCATTTTCTGGATATGAAGCCTATTTTCTTTCCATATACCACACACTAAAATCAATTATGCTATGGTATTTAAAATAAACCACACCAATTACTACATGCACAGAAATCCAAAAGCTATAATGCAAATTTTCACAGAAGGCATTGGCTTGCAAACACAGCAAATGACATTAGTAATTGACTAAGTAAAATTTCAAGTTTTAAGAACATTTTCATGCCTTATTTTGAATAATCAGTTACCTCAAATTGATTGAAGTAGAGGTGCAGAAGTAAGCCAGAAATCCTACCAAGATAGTGCCATCGAGAGAGAAAACACCAAAGACAGAGAAAGAAGAATGGTCATCTTTACTTAAGGTGATTTATTCAAACTATCTCAAGGTTAAAGGTGGGAAAATTATGACAAAATGACATTTTCAGGTATGTTTTATTTATTAACTAACTCTTTTTATAATCAGCTAAGAGTTTAAAATACTGAGTATTTATAAAAAACATAATGTTAAAATATCTCTAAAATTACCTAGTCATTCTAGCATTAGAATAAATATAATGCAAACTCCTACCTGACTTTTATAATAGTCTGAAGTAAAAAAGCCACCTTTCTTTTTCTGCTGATTTAGTATGACAGTAGATAAAAAAGATAAATGAAAATTACCTTCACTGCTGCAGTGACAGCAGCAGTAGCTGCTAGGTTTAAACCTTGTCGCCCAAAGTTTACCATAGTCTCATAGCCTCGTTCCTTTGCTTGTACAATATAATCATCAATTTCCTGTGGAAACAAAAATAAAAACAACTATAGATGTTAATTTTATTTATAAAGTGTTAAGAAGCCAAAAAGTAGGACTTTCTTACCATATAATAGTTTCACAAATTTTGTGGTAGAAAGCACGTTATCTACAAACATTTCTAAAAAAGGATTCGTGGAAATAGATTATATATCTTACCCTTTCCTTTGAAGAAAGAAGTGGATGAAGAAATTTTCTGTATATTAAACTTGCTCCTTTGGTATAGGGAGAGAGCAGCCATATGACAAAAGCAATCTTCAGCTCATAGTATAAGGGAAACCTAACAAGAAAAAAGAAAGCTGGTGAAAAAATTACAAACAATGTGGAAATCACAAAACCACTTTTCAAGTTTAGTCACTGTGTTAAGTTTTCACACGTAGAAGTTAAGTGATCAGGGAAACAACCATGATGGAACTGACAAATTCATCTTAATCTTGGATAAGTTAACCAAAGAACGAACTGATACCCACAGAGATTCATGTCTTCTACTACAAGATTCTTCCTTTGGTGCAAGTACAGGCAAGCTGCCAAAGTATAACAGTTAAGAGAATACATTAACAGCATTTAACATGAGACACAGTGGCACAGGCCTGTAACCCCAGCCACTTGGGAGGCTGATGCAGGAAAACTGTGAGTGAGCTGTTGCAGAAATACATGACATAACTCCAAAAACACCAGGGTACAACTTTATATGCTCCAAGTGCATAATGTTTACCCCAAATGCACATTTCCTGATCTTTCTCACAACTTTGAGAAAACATCCTTTCCAATCTCATTTGGCCAGAACTGCAAATTTTACTTGGAATTGAAGGGTAAAGGGAATTACCGTGGTGGAGACTAGGAATTAGGGTTAAACACTCATGGACATTTCCCTGTGACTTTGCAGTACCTTTCCTGTAGGTAGAACACACTTTGCCAACCAATGACTATATTTAGCCACATGGCTTGCTTTGATCAACAGAACGAGACAGTAACACGTCACGTGCAAGCAGAAGCTTTAGATGCCCCTTGATTCTGTTAGTCCAATGCCCTCAACCTCTTGCTTTAAGTTTTTGCCTCTGCCATGAGCATAGCTATTCTTCAACCTTGTTGCTGAGCTGAGAAGACATCGAAAACTAAGCTGAGCCCAGCAAAGATGCAGTCAACCATTCTTCTCAAGTGGCTTGAGTAAGAAATAAATGTTGTCTAACCCACTGTACTTTAGAGGGCTATTTGTGGCCATGCCAGAAGTTAAACAATATCTCAAAAGAAGCCAAGCATCTTGTGGCCCAGGAGGCACCAAGTTACACAACGACCTAAGCAAGGCTGGGTTCTTTTGCAAAGGTGCACAGGTAGGGAGGAGGCTGTGAGGACTGACTGTGTGTAGTCAACAAAGCATCTTTGCCACAAAGAAGTTTGTTGACTTTCAATATTCACATTAGTGTTTTTCTACCCTTTAAAAAACTGTATACACCCAATAAAAGAATTCAAGGAAAAAATAAAAAATAAATAAAAATTGTATACAGGCTACATTTTAAATCAGAAAAAATGAGAAGATTTAAAAGAAAATAAAATTGAAACTTAGAGACACCTACCAAGGTTTGGGATCTGTGTTCTGCCACTTAGAAATAAAAAGAAAAATTTCCCTCAAACCTCCACTCCAAAAACATAACAGGTGAATGAATGGATTTGGGACAGAGGGAGGAAAATATATTTCAAGTAAGAAGATGAGGGCTTAGGGAGGTATAGCTTAGTGGTAGAGTATGTGCTTAGCATCCCTGTGCCATCAAAATAAAACCAAGGAAATATGGGAGTGGATACCCAGCAATTCATAAATAACGGCAGGTTATTAAGAATGTTTAAGTCTGATGACTTCTATTTTTGTTCCTAGCAAGTCCAAGGGGACCTAAAGTGCTATGAGAAAATGAGAATGGCAAAGTGGGAAAGACAGCTCAAAGAGAGAATAGTAAAGGTGTGATGTAGGCACAGAGGGAATAGAAGCAGCAACTGACTAAAAGCAAATAAAAGGAATGGTGAAGTTTAAGTGATGCTTATAAGTGCTGTTGAGTGAATTTTTTTGGGTGCATCTGGTAGCCCAGGTAAAGAAATTAAGAATGATAACTTGGTTATTTTAGGCTGAAGTTTACGTGGCTTGGGGAATTGAACACTGGCAAGATCATAAGTTAAATGTGAAAAAACTGACGGCAGGGTTTAGATGGAAATGCACTACTGAAAGGAGGCACAAAGACATTCGAATTCTTCCATTAAGGATTGCTCTTGAAAAAATGTTAAATCCTCAAGGAAATAAAGATGCTTTAATTTTGCCTCATGCAATTTGGAACAGAGTAGCCAAGGAGCTGGTGTTGAATGGATGACCACATGGATGCTGTCCAATTTGAATGTCTGTGGAGAAGAGATTTTTTTTTTTTGGTACCAGGGATCAAACTCAGGACCTTGCGCTTGCCAGGCAGGTGTGGTGCCATCCCCAGGCCCTGTGAAAAATTTTAAGCGTGGGGAAGAAATGCTAGAATCAGATGTTGTAGGCTTCAGAAGAGAAGTCACTTAAGAACTGATCAAGAAAAAAAGTCTGAAGTCATCAGTGTATAAAACAGATGATGGGGCCAGGGATTTAGCTCAGTGGTTCTCCCTTTTGCCTCGCAAGTGCAAGGACCCGAGTTCGATTCCCAGTACCAAAACAAAACAAAACAAAACAAAAACAGATGTCAGCCAACTTTCTCTACTCCACGATAACTGGGTAGAGTTTGGGAGGTGGGCAGAGTAGCATGTGGGGAGCAGAGTGAAGTGTCTTCATGCAGGGAGGGGGGCTACACAAAAAGTAATGTTCTTATGGCAAAAGCAGATGAAGAAAATGAGAGGTTGGACAAGTGATGACTTGATGGAATTCATTTAGTTACTAACACGAGCAGGATAAGAACTCAGGACATCTGAAAAAGCATGTGTAGGCCTATTAACAGAACTTACCAAGCAACTGTTTGATCTGCTATTGTTTCAATCACAGTGTACAGAGCAAAAACAATCCAGTACATCATCCAGCGAACCTGAAATTATAAAAATACTTATTAAACAACTGAAATGATTTGCAACTCTGAATAATTTGATGGGTAATGGTTCAATTTTCAAGTTTTTAATATTTGAATGCCTTATATCATTATACTAACATTCTTGAGATAAATGAATCAAAGAATAACAGATCTCTGGGGCCTGATACAATATTATTTAAGAATCTAAATCAAAGAATTGGGAAAACATGAAATATTTTTCCTAACTGGAGGAAAGCTCTTTAAACCATGTTACTTACACATTTACTGATGATCATTAGCTATTTATTATTACATAAATAATGTAGTAAAATAATACAATCACATCTAATCTTCATTAGTCTGCAAAATTTTGCATTCCTTATTTCTTGATACACAGAAATTATTAAAAAAACTGAAGAGCAACCCTGGGATTATTAATTCTATTAATGATACATTCATAATGCTAGTCACTTAGGTTGATTCTGAGTTAGTGTTTTTCTTCTCCTCCTCCTCAGATCAGCCTGTAAACTCTGACCATCTTTCTCCTTCCATTCCAATTCCACACTGGTAGTTCAGGACATTTTTACCTACTCCCTAGACTAACTTAACTGGTTAACTCGTCTTAAGTGGTCCCTGACTCTGGAGTTTCTTGGTGCCATGCTTTTCAAAGACTGCTGCCAGATTTTTGTTGCATTTATGTCCCCCAATTTACATCTTTTTCTCTACCTCCATAGATAGACCTTCTTATTTCTCAAGTAGGTTTGAATTTCACTTATCTCTGTCCTTCTGCTCAGGAACATAATAGCAAATACATAATGCCATGCCAATCATGGGCTAGGGACTGCTAAGTACAATCACATATTAGTAATTCAACATCATTATGAAGCAGAAAATATAATTATTTCCATCTTACATAAGAGAATTATGGCAAGGAAAGGTAAAATGAACTTGTACAATGTCATTTAGCAGGGGGATGCTTGATTTTGGACTTGGCTAATCAAGTGTAGAACATGGAGAGAAAACTAAGGAATTGCTGAATGTGGGGTCCAAGAATAACCATTACTTCTCCTTGTTCTTATCCCAATCAATACCCCCAAGAAAAATGTAGGTCCTTATAAGCAGCTAAACATTGGTCTATTCAACTTTTTCGGGGGGAATGGTGCTGGGGACTGAACCCAGGACTCTGTCCATGCTGGGCAAGTTTTCTATCACTGAGCTACCTCTAGCCCTTAACTTTTAGTTTTAATTTAGATGCTTGTTTGGATATTTCATGGACAACATAAGACTGTAACTTACGTAGTTTTCACAGTTTTCTATTTATATAGACAAACCAATTATCAAGAGCTACAAATAACTTTTGAAGCAATTTACTTTAATTTATGGAGAATCATGAAAGCTTCAAAAATTATCCAAATAATAGGGTATATTATATCTGAAATATGAGGAAGTTGATTTATAAAGTCATCACTGAAAATTTTAAAAAGACCTATGTTCTCTTCAGTTTTTCACCTTTCATGACTGTATCTCACACTGCTACCAGCTCCATGTTTTTGTCCAAGGATAAGGAATTTTCTTTCAGGGCTAAAACCTATATGTGCTTTTGTGTATGTTGTGTTGTTTTTTTATTTCCATCCTACTCCATCCTTATCCTTTTAAAAAAGGGAAGTAATGTTCCTCCATATGAGTTCATTCATTTAGCCCTTCTAAATCCAAACATTAAGTTAGCATTTTTGCCTCTTGACTGTATTCACAAGGTTATCTTTTACCCTGATTAGCTATAGGCCTTTTCCCAAAAAAGAAATGAAGGAAAATGACTACAAAGAGAAAATATGCTTTTATGGAGCTAGAAGGGATCTTGGGGGTGATTAAGCTTTTAAAAACTAAGTAATTCTTTCCTAGAAAAAAAAAAAGTTGAAAACATTCTAGAAGAAATTATTCCGGATGGGTTGTTACCCACTCAACCTACCCTAGGACTCCTGAAGAGACTCCAAGAAATTCTACTGATCCCTGGGGTAGATTCTGAAAAAAAGTAGTAATATAGTGAATTCCTCTTACTGTACTGAGGGCCAAAATAAATAAGTCACTCTAGGACAGGGGATTTAGCTCAGTGGTTCTGCCACCTGCCTCACAAGTGCAAGGACCTGAGTTTGATCCCCGCACACACACAAAAAAGTCACTCTAAGTCACTGAGCTAGGAAATGGTTGAAGGAAGCCCTATCCACTCTGCAACCTGAATGTCGCACCTTTTCCACAAGTGGCTGCCACCCGACCACCCAGTTCCCTATAATTCCTGGTCCTCTTCCTCTCCTCTAATTAGCACAGGGATTTCAGTATAAATATTATCTACCACTTCTTTCCAAGGCAAAGTGGAGGCTTAATTTAGATTTGGTTCTTCTTTAAGTGAAGGTTGGTATTTTTCATTATGTCACATTTTCACTACTTCACAACCATCATTATGCTTGTGATTGTCCAAAGGGACAACAGCTTTGAGTAATACTCCCCATACTGTTACAGTTTACTTGTTAATAGAGCTGAGGATAGGTGAAAGGGGTAGTACAGACAATAGCTGTTTGCTGATATCCCCAAATGAACAGCTATCCACAGTTCAAAGATTATTTTTGAAATCTTATTAATGGGATTATTTATAAATCTGTGGGCAAGGTTCCGAAAAACCTTATGGGGATATTTAATAATGTCAAAATTTAAAAAGAAAAACAGAAGAAAAAGAAGATAGTTAAACAGAACTACCAAAGAAGAAATTAATCAATAAGGTAATCAATAATTGTCTTAGGGTATTGACTAGAATTTTATATAAATAAAAAGGAATGAATTCTTTGGCAATCTGCTCTCTTGAACTTATGGATTTTTTATTCTTCCTGTAAGAAATATAGACTTTATAGTTGAACCCAGGCAATAATTAAATGTAACTCAATGAGCATGTGTTATTCATGAGAGCAACCACAAAGAAAGTTATCCTTGAAAATATATTGATTTTTTTTTTTCATTAATGGATTTGCTTGGGACTTTAAGTGAAATGATTACTCAGTAAAGTTTTTTACTAAAACTATACCTCAAGGCCATTCAACCTACTATAAGGTTTTGCCCAAAGAAAATAACAGAAAGAAGTCAGAGACAAAACAGAAAAAAAAAGCAAATCACAAAATTATAAATATAATTAAACACGTGAAGATAAAGAAAACCTTCCAAACTGAAAACACCAATAAGAAAATGCAATACTCATGCCAAATATTGGTAGAAAAACAATCACATTGATCATAGGATGTACAGTCAGTCATCCTTCTTTATCTGCAGGGTATTTCCCATGACCCCTGCAGACACCAAAGTCTGCAGATTCTCAAGTCCTTCACATAAGATGGAATGTCAATATAGAACCTATGCACATCCTCTGATAGACTTTCAATCATCTCTAGATTACATATAATACCTGATATAATGTAAATGCCATATAAATAGCTGTCATACTGTCTCGTTTAGGGAAGAATGACAAGAAAAAATGTCTGTGTGTAATTTTAACCCCAAATATTTTTGGTCTATGGTTCGCTGAATCCAAGCATAGAGAACTTGGAGGACTGATTATACATAACAAAACATAATAGCTATTAAAATATATTATGCCAATAATAAACAGTTACTTAACCGGTGACTTTAACAAATTACAATTCACCTTTTCAAATTACTGAAGAAAACAGTCACTAATACTGTTTTTATTGATATAAATTTATGTTTGGGGGAAAATGGGAACAAATAATACTTTATCCACTTCAGAAACAATTGGTAAAATCAAGAAATTTGTTTAGATACCTTCATGAAAACAATGAATAATAAGAAAGCAGTACCCAACTTTTTCTTAAAAGCCTCTCTGACCCTCTTCAGTCAGTCTGTAATTCAGTGGTGGTAAACCTATGGCATGCGAGCCACAGTAGGCTGTATCATTGAACGCTTTAAAAGGTTCACCACTGCCACTATAACTTCATTCTCAGTGGTGAACATTTTCAACACAGGTGAAAATTCACTTTCAGAAAGAGGGTGTGTATTAGAGGAGAGAGTGCTCACAGGGCAGATTGGAGTGCCTGGACGCTCTGTAATACTTCTGTGTAGTCTAGCTGATGATCATAAAAAACTATGAAAGAGAAAGAAAATGTTATCTTTGATCCCAGAGAAATAAATTCTCCAATAAGATGAAGTAGATACCTAAGAGCATTAAAAGGCACCCCACCCAGACCCACACCTTCTTTTTGTCTAATTTGGCACATGAAACTTAATTCAGTCAATTCTTGAGGATTCAGGTGGCAGCATTAACAATGTTAATTGATAAAACTGGCTAGTTCATGTCAAGGGAAGAGAAACACCAACATGAAAGGTTCTGTCCGCAAGGGTTTAATGTTTTTCTGAAGAGACAGAGACTGAAATGATGAGAAAGCCAGAATATTTAACAGAAGATCCTGGATGAGATAAGCAAGAATAAGATGAGGACACAGATGGAAAGAAGAGTGGGCTCAAGAAAGAAGCAGGGGGGCTGTGTCGGGAAGAGGGATGAAGTGGGTCACAGTTGAGACCCTTGAATTCCAGTCTGCAGTGGCAGGCAGGTAATCTGTTATGGCTGGGCATGAGTGGGCAGGGGAGTGGATTTGAGAAGAGAGGAAGAGGTTTAGAAGAGTTGTTTTTATGGATGGGAGAGGGAGCTACCCAGGGAAGAGCTGAACAGACTGGATGAGCAATGGTGCTCTCACCAGCTAGAGCAAGGGTTGCACTGAGAAGTCTAAGATAATGAAACAGGAGAGGCCTGGTGGCGACAACTCGTCCATAAAAAGGTAGAACAACTGTGTGTGGTGGTGTAAGCCTGTAAGCACAGGGAGGCTGAGGCAGGAGGATCACAAGTTTGAGCCCAGCCTGTGGAGTTCAGCAACTTAGCAAGACCCTGTCTCAAAAACAAAACAAAACAAAACAACAAACAACTGGGGATGTAGCTCAGTGTGAAGGCTCTGGGTTCAATGTTCAATCCCTAGTAACACACACACATACACAAAGGTGTAGCGATAGTGTGGTTGAGAAGTAGCCCACTCTTTGATCCCCCTTTGCAGGCTGGTAGTGGGGCCACGTGTCTGGTACTCATCAACAGAATATGGGCTGAAGGATTGGAGTAGTGGGCGAGTCTTCTCCACATGTTCTTCCCTTCTTCCTGATAGCTGGGCTGGTAGGGCATACAGCAGCCTCGGAAGCTATGTGTTGAAGGTGGGCAGAGCCTCAGTTCTTAACTAGTTGCATGAGGTTGATTCCTTGCTGAAATGAATGCCTTGCCTCATGCTGGAATGTTACACTATATTCTTTTCATCACTGCATTACTGATGGATATAGCAGCTTAGCCCCCTTAATGTGAGGTCACATTCTAATCTCTGTGGAGACTGAGAGGTCATAGCCACCACACTAATGGTTCTAGAATTAGGAAGCAATGGTCATAATGCTATTAGGGTCTATCTGGAGCTTGGTTAATGCCGAGTTCATGGTGATAGGTCCAACAATCATGATGATGAAGAAGTGGAGAAGAGCTGTGATTTTCAGAAACTCTGTTCTGTCATCCTCAGAGGTCTCTCAGAAATATTCGAGAAGCAACTGGACAGTAGGAAGGACTGAGTTCTCATGCAGCAACTGGGCAGGGCAGAGTAATACTATTTTAAATTATCACTGTGATCCACAGGGAAGTAAGGCTTCCAACTGTGTGAATCTGTCAGCCACCCCCTTGTGTTGTCAGAATATGTGACTTTAGCAGCAATTCCTTATTTTCAATAGGCCAAGGATACAGATACAAATATGCACAAAATTTGAAGTAAATATAGTCTGAGTAGAAGGTTGATGGAATACGCAAAGAAAGTGCAAATAAGTCAGCGGGAAGATGACAGGAAAATGTTTGAAGTTCTATTTGGCTTACTGTGTTTTCTTTCTCAAACCTGTTCCTAATGTCCAGTAGTGTAGCTGGCACAAAGCAGATGCTCAAAACATTTAATAAAAGAATTGATGAATTAGGTAACAAGCAAGATTATAACTTCTATTTTTCCTAATTATTCAGTAATAAGCTTATGCATGTGGTCATTTTAAAATCTGTAACCCTTTACCCATTACAATCTCCATGACTAGGGAAATGTGATAAATATATTAATTTAAAATAAAATATTTATAAATAAGAGTCCTCAAATGGAATCTTAAAATCATTCAAAAATCAAAAGGAATGTATTTTCCAAGAAAATACAGTCTCCTAATTAGGTAAGTTCTTTTGAAGATTATAGAATCATCTGTGATATAAAATCATAGTATCTAAAATTACATTCTGGTTTATATAATGCATGGATTAGATTATCCTACTTAACAAGCCAGCACTTGCTTTATTATTACTCAAAATCCAAAAGGCTTTTATAAAGCCTCAGCATTTCAGAAATCCAGACAGTCATGTGAAGGAGTTCTTAGCTTCACTCTTCCTGAGGAATTAGAGGTTATTTAAAGGCTGCATGAATATTGTAAAAATGAACATACTCATAGGCTAAATTTACTATCAGAAGACCACCACGCTCCATTTAATAGGAATGCATTTACATACCCCATTTCTGAAAGAAAAGCTGGCTTTGTTTCACTATCTTCACATTTTTCAGCAAAACAGGTTTTCATACTTTATGTTCTTAGACAAAATTTGTACAAAGCTTCCAGGATAAACAATGCAAACAAAGAAATATTTATTTATTTATTTACTGAGTGAGTGAGTGAATGAGTGAGTTACTTAGTGGTTCTGGGAATCTAATCTAGGAGTACTTTATCACTGAGCTACATCCTCATTTTGAGACAGGGTCCCACTGAGTTGTCTAGGCAGGAATTGAACTTGTGATTTTCCTGTCTCAACTGCTCTATTTAGGTAATTAAGTAATGACAAGGTTTCACTATGTAGCTCAGGCTGGTCTTGAACTTGTGATCTTACTACCCTCAGCCTCCTCAGTGCTGGGATTACAGGTATGTACTATAATGGTCAGCTCAATAACTTATTTTTCTGTGATCAGTATAATATAATAGCAATGATAATAATTTGTTAATTGATATAACTGTACTAATTTATAGTTGTATGATAAGAAGAAAAATTAAAGTGATAATTATTAGGGCCTAACTTGAACAAAGTCTTTGACATGAAGTAGTCACAACCACCATGTCAAGGTATTTATATCTCCAAGATGCTTTCATGGGGGAATGAGTATAAGAAGACACATGAAAGAATAGAGCTAGGAATGTAGTTCAGTGGCAAAGTGCATGCCTAATATATATATATATGATGCCTTGGATTTGATTCTCAGTACAACAATAACAACAAAATAAATGATTACCAGCAAAATGTTTGATCCAACATATAAATACTAATATTTTTATTATATATTATCCACTGCCTTGTATGAATGCAATTTCTTCATTTCAAAAGGAAAGGTTTTCCTAACCATTCTTACCCACTCCAAAGGGCATATATAGTCTTTGGTGCATTGTTCTCTTCCTTTGTAGCATGCACATGTGGTTGGCTTATATAATACCTGCCTCTCCCATCTGACTATATAAACCAGCAGGGACCAAAATTACTTTGATCATCATTGTATTCCCAGCACCTAGCACTCTGTGCCTGGTAAAGTGAGCACAGAAGAAGGCTTTTACTTAACTATTTCTTAAATTTTAAAGTCTGAATTGATATAGCAACATGAACTGCAAGTAGCAGCTTTTAACATTCAAAATAGTTTATTTTTTCAAAGTTGTTTTCAGAGTTTTAGATATTTAAAGTTTCCAAATTCTGTTAATTACAGATTCTTTGAATCATAAAGCTATGAATGTTGATCTTTAAGAAAAAAATAAAAAATTACATAGGTCTAATGACTTGAATTATAACTACACTAAGCGAGAGCATGAAATGCTAAAATATGCTTCACTGGGAAAAAAAAAAATCTTTGCTGAGTCTAAAAAGAAATAAACACTGCTGAATTTCAGACCACCCAAAGAGAACTTTATTTTCTGACCATCATTACTTACTCAGTCAAGGAAATTCACCCAAAACATTAATTCCATAGCGCATTTCAGAGGTGACAGAAGATCCTGATACAAAATTCTTTATGAACAGTATAGAGTTGAAAGGATTTCTATTTAATTAACATTATGCAATAGTTTCGCTACTTCATAATGATCTCCCCCCTTTAAAACAAAGGGAACAAAGTGTGAGAAGTCAAATAGAAAAACTCCCTCCTTTATCCACCCCAGATGGCTCAGTTACGGGATTTTTCTCAATCCTGTGCCAAGTTAGAGGCATAAAAATAAGCTAGTTGCAGTCACATCCAGAGTGAATAGAGACCACGGCTAAACATGTTTTTTAAAAAGATGGAGCATGTCAAATATGAATATATTACATTAGGACTGAGTTGGGCTTACTCAATTTGAGTATTTCTTTTCCTACTGCCACTTTTGACTATGTCTCAAGTTTTTGCAGCTCCACAAGATTGGGAGCTATACTTTCACCTGCTAAACCCTCAGAACACTGTTCACCTGAAGTCATCATTGCCACAGACCTCACAGAAAACCCTGTGCCTCTGAAGGAGAAAGCCTCACATTATATAGAAGTATGTGTGCTAAAGTGAATTAAAATGGGACAGATTGTAAAGAGAAATGGATGCCTTTCAGGTACTCTTGAAAGTAGCCCCACAAATCTTGTCCCTGACCTCAGCAGAATTCAAGAAACTTGAGAGAACAGAAAGTGCGGAAATGTTTAAAAACTAAATGATAATTAACTTTAAAAGAGTGTTGAAAAGAAGATGCAAAAAGCAGGATCTGCTTAAGGGAACTGTTCCCAGAAGCAGAATTTAGGAAGGAATGACTTCTCAGTCTCAAAATAACTCTTTCCATCTACACTGGCTGAGAATTCACACTTCACATTTTTTCTTTTTTGGTTTAAAGTCCTCTCCATTTATTTGGGATAAGTAAGTAATAGCACAGGATGTCTGGGGTAAAGAAGGTCTGCCTGAGAGGTATAGTTAGGCTCCATGCAAACAGTGAGATGGAAAAGTGGCAAGAGAAAGATGCAGAGAAAAGGGAGAATGATTCTAAAGGCAAACTTCACTGACAAAGGTGCAGAGAGAAGGGAGAATGATTCTAAAGGGAAACTTCACTGACCCGGACATTAGGCCAGCCCTAAAACAAGAAAACTAGGAGGAGGTCAAACTCAATACCCTTACTCCCCTAATTATGTGGTTAATTTTGTTAAAATATTTTTTCTTTAATATATTCCAAGTTGTTAATCAGTTTACTAAGATACGTGTAAAACTATTAAGTGCCCATCCACATACATGAAGTTGTTATTATTATTCTTATTTTGTGTGAGACAGGGTCTCATTATGTACCTCAGGTTGGCCTCAAACTCATGGCGATCCTCCAGCCTCCCAAGTGCTGGGATTACAGGCATGCACCACCACGCCTGGCCATATTATTTTTTTAAAGCACAGTGTGATAAAGGCCTGTGCTGAAGGGATGAGTACCATGGTAACACAAGACAGCTCCTTGTCAACAGTTTCAACTTGGCATTATCAATAGTTTCAGGAGAATCACTTGGGGGTTATAAATACCTGTATGGACTCCCAGTCCCCTTTATCACAATAAGCAGAAGAGGGCAGCCAGCTGCTTAAATAGCAAGTTGTGTGTGGTGGTGGTACTGGGCATTGAATCCAGGGGAGTTCCACCGAGTTGCATCCCCAGCCTTTATTATTATTTGGAGACAGTATCTTGCTAAATTGCCCGGGCTAGCCTCAAACTTGCAATCCGCCTGCCTCTGCCTCCTGACCACCTAGCCTGGCTTTCCATGTGTGCTTTGGACGTGTGATCAGCGTTTGAGACCTGTGCAGAATCCCTGCTACAGTATTTGAGCTGAAGTCTATGGACCAGCACTTCTAGCATTACATGGAAAGCCTGCAGGAAATGCAATCTCAAGCTCAGGCCAGACCTGTGACACAGATCCCAGGGGGACTCATGTAGTCCTTAAAACTCGAGAGCACTATAGCAGGAGGCTGTTCAGGGCATATTCTCACAATATCAATTGCAGGAAGGTAGCGACTTCTCTAGGAGAGTATAACAAAAGCCTTACATTTGGAGAAAAGATCAGCTTGGTTTTGAGAGATTAACTTGTTCAGTGTAAACATTTAAAATGTAACACTGGTTACAGATATTACCATTAAAACAAAACACGAGGAAATACAAAAATGCTCAAAACTAAGAAAAATGGCTGGGCTTTTAGCCCACCTCTCAGAGGTACTATTACAGGCTAGCACTTAG